TCGAGGCTGCGGTGGCTGGGAGTGGCCACTGCACTCCAATCTGGGTGACAGAGTGAGACTTCAACTGAAAAAAAAAAAAGAATCTTTTATCTGAAGATTTTAAAATCCGTCAGTGCTCACTACCTGGATGTTATCATTATAGGCTGGAAAACAGGGGCTGTGTAATTCTGTCAGTCTTGTTCTTTGCAAGTACCTTGTATGTTAGAATTTTCTGGGGCTGGGTCTTGGGCCCTCATTTGCCTTCAAAGAGCCCATGTTTCTCCCAGCCCTGATTTCCTTTGTGAGGTCTAGACCTATGTGCTCTGCTCCTAGGGTACTGGCTCCTAGATACCCCTTCCTGCATCAGGGTCTCCAGCCCCTCCTCATCTGGGTCTCCAGCCCCTCCTCCCTCAGACCCTGGAGTCTAAGCCAAGGCCCTCTTCCCTCAGACCCAGGAGTCCAGACCCCAGCCCTTCCGCCCCCAGACGTGGGAGTCTGGCTCCCTCACATTCACCCAAAGCTGACGGCAGCAACTTTCTTCCCCACACCGTGTGTCTCCCTGTCCCTTTGGTCACCAGGCCAGAGTCCTGGACCTTGCTCTGCACACCGCCCCATCTCCCTCTCAGGCCCGTCGGTCACCATGCCCTTTGTGCTTCCTGACTCTCTCTCCAGTCCATCTCTTTGCTATCCCCACCGCCCAGGCCCCAGCTCCGGTCTCGTCCTCGCCGCCTGAGGGACTGATAGGAGAGCTGGTTTTTATCCCTCTAGACCATTTCCCAGAGGGATAACTCAAACCTGGGTCCCGCTCCTTCCTTTTAGGCTTTCCATGGCCACCCAGTGCTGCAGGTGGACCAAACCTGCCGCGAGCTGTGTGCACTGCCACGCTTCTCACTTCTTCTCACCACCACGTCCTCTTCCACTCTGACTAGGGTTTGCCCCCAAAACTTCCTGAACTTTCCAACTTTTGTGCATCTGTACCATGCTGTTCCCTCTGTCCAAAATGCCCTTCCAGCTCCTTCTGTTTCCCCAAGTCTAAAAGCTCCCTGTTTTGAGGCTTGCCTTAAATCCCCACATCCAGGAAGCCGTGGTGACTCTGGTAGACATTGCTTCCCTCCCAGGTTCCCACAGTTTCTGGGTTTCCCTGTCCTCTTGGTCTGGGCTATACCTGGTTGTGTCCCCACCTGGAGGATGGGGTCCAGGTCCAGCCCTTCTCAGGTATCACCCAGCTTGGATGTGTTTCGCATCCATTCCTTCATTTATATCTTTCAAACCTGTTTATTTGGCACCGACTCTGGGGCAAGCCTGAATGAGAGTGAACCAGATAGACAGGGCCTCACCCTTGAGGGACTGAAAGCCCAGGCAGGGGTTTAAGATTGGGCTGCCCTCTGTTTCGCTCCCTGTGCTCAGACTGAGGCTGAGGACTTGGTTGTTCTTTCAGGAACAGCAGCAGCTGAGCCAGGAGCGGGATCGCGTGGAGGGTTTTCGCCAGAGACTCCGGGAGGCCCAGGGACAGCTCGACTCACAACCAGAGGACCAGCGTGAGCGGCTTCTGCAGAGGATGCAGGAGGTCAGGGCCCTCTGGCATCCAGACCCCTTAAGACCCAGGAGTCCAGGCCCTAGCCCCTCTTCCCTCAGACCCAGGAGTCCAGGTCCCAGCCCCTTCTCCCTGAGACCCAGGAGTCTAGACCTCCAACCCTTCCTCCCTCAGACCCAAGAGTCCACGCCCCCAGCCCCTCCTCTCTCAGACCCAGGAGTTCAGGCCCCAGCCCCCTTCCTCCTCATTGACCAGGAGCCTGGCCCTAGTCCACTATTTCCCTGGTCCCTAGCAGTCCAGGCCTCTAACCCTTTGGGTCCCCACCCATAGATGCGGGAACAGCTGGATGTGGCCCAGCGTGCCTACGAGGACCTGGAGTTCCAGCAGCTGGAGAGGGAGAGCCGGCAGGAGGAAGAGAACCGGGACGGCTCTGAGCCCCGGGCACCGAACCTCAAGGTCCAGGAACTTCAGGCCAGTGTGGCGCAGCACAAGGTGAGTCCCGCTGGAAGAGCCCTCACCGCTCCCCGTCTCCTCTGTTCCTGGTCCGGCCTTTGCTCTGTTCTTGTTTCCCACCTACGTCATGTTCTTCAGCATAGAAACAGTAGCCGATGCTTACAGAACATCACCCGGTGCCAGGCACGGCCCCAACCATTTCATCAGTATTTTCATGGAATCCTTACAGTAATCCCATGAGGCAAGTCCTATTGGGTTTTTTTCCTCCATGTGATAATGAAGAAACTGAAGGTCATGGTGCTTAAGCGATCTTTTCCAAGGCTGCTGAGTTGGTAAGGGATAAAGCTGGGACCCGAACCAACCTAGTCTTCCTACCATAGTCTGTGCCTCTCAAACCTTAGTCCAAAAAGATGCTCCACCAGATCCTTTCAGGGAGCTTCACATTCGAGGTTCTGACAAGTCCTGTGGGGAAAAGGGGACATACTTGACTATATTTAGCACAAACTTTCCCAAAGGTTTGGATTAGAAAGCTCTGCTATGACTCTCCTTGCCCCACCTCTGTTTCCGGACCTTTCTCCTGCCTCTCTCTTTTCTCTTCCTCTGCTGTCTCAGATGGTTTCTATCTCTCTAGTTCTATTTGTCTTGTCTTCTTTCTCTGTATCTTTTTTTTTTTTTTTTGAGTCGGAATTTCACTCTGTCGCCCAGACTGGAGTGCAGTGGCCGCTCCCGGCCACCGCAGCCTCGACCTGTTGGGCTCTGGCGATCCTTCCACCTCAGCCTTCCAAGTAACTGGAATTACAGGCATGCGCTACCACGCCCGGCTGATTTTTTTGATTTATTGTAGAGATGAGATCTCGCCAAGTTGCCCAGGCGGGTCTTGAACCCGCGGGCTCAGGCAATCCACTCACCTCAGCCTCCTAAGGCGTGGGATTACAGGCTGATCCCGGCTCCTCTCTCTGTATCTTTCTCTGCATCTCTTTCTCGGTCATTGTTCTCTCTCTCTGTTGTGGTTTGTCTCTGTTTGTCCCTTTCTCTTCATCCTTTCTAGTCTACCCCAGATCTCTTCCGGGCCCCCAAAAGGGAGGAGGGCACCAGGGAGCGGAACTCTGCGTCCCTGGCCCTGAACACTCAGATGCCATGATCTCTGGGCGGGGCTGGAGCAAACCCCAGCACTCCAGGAGGATGTGGTTCCGGGGGAGGGTGGGCCTGGGGGGCCACTGGAGCCCTGGGACCCTGGGGCAGCTGAGTGACCCGGGAGGGTACGCCCTGCAGCGCCGGGTCCAGGTCCTGGAGGAGCAGCTCAAGTCGCTGGGGGAGCAGATGGTGGTTGAGAGCCGGGGGCTGAGCCAGAAGAAGGAGGAGGCCCTTCAGGCCCTGATGCAGGTGAGCCCCGTGGCCGCCTGTCCTACCGTCCTCACCTCCCCCGGGGCAGCCCACCACTGCCCCGCACCCGGAGGTCTCCTGGCGTTGGAAGCCCTGGGGTGGCCCATTCTGACTTTGAGATGTGGAGGTCCATGGTGTCTTCCCCCAGGAACGGAGCCGACTGCTCGAGCTCAGTCGCCTTCAGGGAGCACCTAGCCGCGACTTCTCTGAACCCAGCCAGGCCCTCACCAAGGTATGGGGGTTTCCTGTGCCTGTCAGTCCCTCCTCCCTCAGATTAGGAGTTCAGGCCCAACCCCTCCTCCCTCAGACTCAGGAGTCTAGTCCCAGCCCCTCCTCCCTCAGACCCAGGAATCCATTCCCTCAGCCCCTCCTCCCTCAGACCCAGGAAGGAGTCCAGGCCCCGCCCCTCCTGCCTCAGACCCAGGAGTCTAGTCCCAGCCCCTCCTCCCTCAGACCCAGGAATCCATTCCCTCAGCCCCTCCTCCCTCAGACCCAGGAAGGAGTCCAGGCCCAGCCCCTCCTCCCTCAGACCCAGGAGTCCAGGTCCCGCCCCTCCTCCCTCAGACTAGGAGTCCAGGCCCAGCCCCTCCTCCCTTAGACCCAGGAGTCCAGGTCCAGCTCTTCCTCCCTCAGACCCAGGAGTCCAGGTCCAGCTCCTCCTCCCTCAGACCCAGGAGTCCAGGCCCAGTTCCTCTTCCCTCAGACCCAGGAGTTCAGGCCCAGCCCCTCCTCCCTCAGACCCAGGAGTCCAGGTCCAGCCCCTCCTCCCTCAGACTAGGAGTCCAGGCCCAGCCCCTCCTCCCTTAGACCCAGGAGTCCAGGTCCAGCTCTTCCTCTCTCAGACCCAGGAGTCCAGGTCCAGCTCCTCCTCCCTCAGACCCAGGAGTCCAGGCCCAGTCCCTCTTCCCTCAGACCCAGGAGTCCAGGTCCAGCCCCACCTCCCTCAGCCTCTAAAGTCCAGGCTCCGCCCCCTCCTCAGGGACCCAGCCATCTCTGCCCACGGCCCTCACTCGCCCTGGGAGCCTGGACACTAAGGACCACATTCCAGCTGTCCTGGTTTTCCATCTCAGACATGGGCGACACCGGGGGCATGGGGCAGAGCCCCTGGGAACTGGCGTTTGCTCTGGGATTCCTGTAGGTCCCCTTAACCTTGACGCCCTCCCCCGCAGCTTCTGTTCACCCAGAAGACAGACCGCCAGCTGTTGGTGCTCCAGGACCCCACCGCCCACGCCACTGCCACCTCTACCTCTTCCTGCCTCTTCTCTGTCCACAGCTCCCTGCAGGTGCCTCCCCCACTGCTTCTGTCTCCGAGTGGGCCTCACTGGTCAGAGGGGAGGGAGGAGTGGAGATCAGACTCCTGGGACTGGGGTCTCCAGGACTTCTCTGTGGCTTTCTATGCCAGGAGGTAGGGAAGAAAGGGGAGGGTGATCAAGGGGTGTTTTTATGACTCCAGCTTTATTAGTATTTCTTTCATCTGCCTGACATCCCGCTCCTCTCCTGGTGGAATGGGGCATGTCCACCAGGAGTCAATTTTAAAAACAACCGACGTGCATACTGATGAGAAAGTTTCCCTTCCCTAGGATGGGGCCTCCCCAGAGGCAGTGCAGCTACATGTTGCTTGAGTATCCTGGATCTCTTTAAAATCGGGGCCCCAATGTATTAATGGTTAAAACATTCACTGAATGGGTTGGTTGCTACTCATTTTTTTTGTTAATGAAATAGAGCAGAAAATATCAGAGTGCGGTCCATGAGGTAGGGATGAGTACATGCTGAATATCTCTAATCTGAAAATTGGAAATGCTCCAGAATTTGAAACTTTTTGAGTGCTGACCTGATGCTCAAAGGAAATGCTCTTTGGCGTGCATTTTGGATTTTGTATTCTCGGATTAGGGATGCTCAACCCAAGTATTCCAGAATCTGAAAAAAATCCGAAACCCAAAACACTTTTGGTCCTAAGCGTTTTGGGTAAGGGATCCTCAGCCTGTCTCAGATGAAAAAAGTTTTGTAGGCCGGGTGTGATGGCTCAAACCTGTAATCCCAGCACTTTGGGAGGCTGAGGTAAGAGGATTGCCTGAGCCCAGAGGTTTGATACCAGCCTGGGCAACTTGGCGAGACTTGTCTCTACAATAAATAAAAAAATTAGCCAGGTGTGGTGGTGCGTGTCTGTGGTTCCAGCTACTTGGAAGGCTGAGGCGGAAGAATCACATGAGCCCAGCGGGCTAAAGATGTGGTAGCTGTGAGCACTCTAGCCTGGGTGGCTCAAACTATAATTCTAGCACTTTGGGAGGATGAGGCAGGAGGATTACCTGAGCCCAGGAGGTTGAGGCAATGGTGAGCCATGGTTGTGCCACTGCACTCCAGCCTGGGCAACAGAGTCAGACCCCGGTTCAAACAAACAAAAAAAGAATACCTGTGTGTGTCTTTGTTCACATAATAATAATAGTACTAGTAGTGAATTATCTAATATTGTTACATATATTATATTACACAGTCTCTCTTATTCATAGTTTTTTCACCCACAGATTCAACCAACCTCAGATTAAAAATATTCGGAAAAAAAGTTTTTCATCTGTACTAAAAATGTACAGATTTTTTTCTTGTCATTATTCCCTAAACAATACAGCATAACAATGAGTTACATCATCAGATTTACATTGTTTTTATTTATTTGTTTATTTATTTTTGAGTTGGAGTCTTACTCTATCACCCAGGCTGGAGTGCAGTGGCACACTCACAGCCACCAACAGCTTCGACCTGCTGGGCTCCGGCGAGCCTTCCACCTCAGCCTTCTAAGTAGCCGGAACTACAGGTGCACATACCACACCTGGTTAATTTTTGATTTATTGTGGAGATGAGGTCCTGCCAAGTTGCCCAGTCTGGACTCGAACCCATGAGCTCAGGCTATTCACTCACCCAGGCCTCCCAAAGTGCTGAGATTACAGGCTGAGCCACAGAGCCTGGCCAAATTTACATTGTATTAGTTATTAAAAGTAATCTAAGGCTGTGCACGTTGGCTCACACCTATAATCCCAGCACTCTGGGAGGTCGAGGTGAGAGGATTGCCTGAGCCCATGAGTTTGAGACCAGCCTGGGCAACTTGGTGAAACATCATTTCTACAATAAATTAAAAAATTAGCCGGGTGTGGTGGCGTATGTCTGTAGTTCCAGCTACTTGGAAGGTTGAGGCAGAAGGATCATCTGAGCCTAGCAGGTTGTGGCTGTGATGGCTGTGAGTGTGCCACTGCACTCCAGAGTGAGATACCAACTCAAAGCAAACAAACAAAAAAGTAATCTAGAGATGATTTAAAGTGTACAAGAGGATGTACATAGGTTATATGCAAGTACTATGCTTTTCTTTTCTTTTCTTTTGAGTTGGAGCCTCACTCAATCACAGACTGGAGTGCAGTGGCATGAGCCCGTGGGTTCAAGACTAGCCCGGGCAACTTGAACTCCTGGGTGGAAGTGACTCTCCTGCCTCAACCTCCCAAGTAGCTAGGACTCTGGATGTGTGCCACAATGTCTGGTTAATTTTTAAAATGTTTTTGTAAATACAGGGTCTTGCTATGTTACCCAGGCTACTCTCCAACTGGATACAAGTGATTCTCCTGCCTCAGCTTCCCAAAATGCTGGGTTTACAGGCATGAGCCACTGCACCCACCAGCAAATATTAGCTTTCTAGCTAATTCCCCTGGAAACCTGATAAAGGTGGAGTGTCAGCTGTGTTGCCAGGCAACATTACTTAGAATAATAATGACCCTTATTAGTAAATTGCCTGTCTATAAATACTTGGAAGGAAGCAGCATTCACACCTGTGGAGTTACTACCCAAGTTATTTACTCTGTGCACATGAGCCTTTTAAATGTAGGTGGATCCTGTCTATCCCCACCGATGTGATTCTCATCTCCTTGCACCTGGCTGTCACTTGGGGGTCAGGCACTCTTCTGTGTGCTTTGCATGAGGTCACTCAGGATCCTTGCAGCAGCCACAGAAATAAGTGGAATGTTACCCACTTTACAGAGGGAAACCTAACTTGAGAAGAGAAATGGTCAAGCTCCCATGCCCCATAGGTGGCAGAGTGGGATTTGAACTCACATCTACCTGTTTCCATGGCCTCCTGCTGGCTTATTCTGTTCCTGCAACATATGTGCCCTGCAGACAAGGCTGACTCTTATTTTACCCACTGTCTGAATATTGGTTGAAGGAAGGAAAGAGTGAAGGGAAACACGGGGACTTGGCCTCAGTTTTTCCTCTGTGAAGTGGAGACAACATCCCAACTCACAGGGCTTTTAGAATCTCAAGTGGGTCTGCAGAGAGACCAGTACACTGTTAGGCACATAATAAGCACTTGATAAATACTGGCTGTTTTTTTTTTAACCTTTTTATTTTAAAAAGTAACATGCAGGGGGGGAGGGGGATGGGATTAACAGCCGCAAATATCTGTCTGGGGATGGGGAAACACCTCTTATCAACAGGGTGCCTGAATGAAACGTAATTGTACACCTAACCCTTAACTGTACCCCACAAAATCATAATAAAAAATATTGATTAAAAAAAAAAAGTAACATGCAAACCAAAAGAAAACAGAAAGAGAAAAAAAACAGCATTCACTAATGCTTTATTCAAATAATATTTATTTTATTTGAGTCGGGATCTTACTATGTGGCCCAGGCTGGTCTCCATAACATGAATATAGAAAATCACATAGGCGAGACTCGGTGGCTCAGCCCGTAATCCCAGCACTTTGGGAGGCCGAGGAGAGTGGATTACCTGAGTCCGTGGGTTCAAGACCAGCCTAGGCAACTTGGTGAGACCTACAATAAAATAAAAAGTAGCCAGGCGTGGTAGTACATGTCTGTAGTTCCAGCTACTCAGAAGGCTGAGGCGGAAGGATCGCCTGAGCCCCGCAGGTCAACACTGGGGTGACCGTGAGCGTACGTGCCACTGCACTCCAGCCTGGGTGAAGGAGTGAGACTCTGACTCGGAAAAAAAAAAAGAAAAAAAAGAAAATCACATCAAATAAACATGCAGTGTGTTAAGACATGGGAATGCTCTGGTAGCTGACACTTGTGTTAGGAGATAGAGCTGAGCCGGGCATGGTGGGCTCAGGCAATCCTCTCACCTCTGCTTCCCAAAGTGCTGGGATTACAGGTGTGAGCCACCACGCCCAGCCTATTTATTTATTTATTATTAATTTTTTTTACAGAGTCTTAACTCTTTTGTCCAGGCTGGAGTGTAGTGATGTGATCAGAGCTCACTGCAGCCTCAAACTCCTGAGCTCAAGCAGTCTTTCTGCCTCAGCTTCCTAAGTAGCTAAGACTACAGATGCATGCCACCACCCAACTAATTTACAGTCTCACTATGTTGCTTCGGCTGGTGTCAAACTCCTGGCCTCAAGCAATCCTCCCTCCTCAGCCTCCCAAAGTGGTGCTGGGATTATAGGCATGAGCCTCCACACCTGGCCTGCTTTTTCTTTTTTTTTTTTTTTGAGTTGGAATCTCACTCTGTCACCCAGACTGGAGTGCAGTGGCTGCTCCTGGCCACCGCAGCCTCGACCTGCTGGGCTCCAGCGATCCTTCCGCCTCAGCCTTCCAAGTAGCTGGAACTACAGGTGCGCGCTACCACGCCTGGCTAATTTTTTGATTTACTGTAAAGATGAGGTCTCACCAAGTTGCCCAGGTGGATCTCGAACCCATGGGCACAGGCAATCCACTCACCTCAA